TGCTATGAATATTTTATTTGAATTTTTATGCGTTGGAATAGTATTTTTAGAGGTAAAGAATTTACTTAGGCACCTTAAGTGTATGAGAAATTTTTTTTAGAGCATAGAATAATCATATGGGATGTGTGAGAGTGCCTAGAAAATTTAAATTAATTTTATTAAGTATGAGGAATATTTTTAATATGAAATAGTGTAATGTTTACACTAAATAATTAATTTAGAGGCTCAAATGAGGTCCAAAAAATATGAAAATTTAAAATAAACTCCCTTAATAAATAATTGAATTTATTATGGAAAGAAATTGGATTTTTGAAGAGTATGGGATGGAAGTTTAAAAGTAGGGACTAAATTGTATAAAATTAGGGACTCGATTGCTTAAAATTAAAAGTATAATAATCCAAATTAAATTATTTAATAATGTTAAGGGTCAAATTTCATTCCTAAATACTAAAAATAAAGGGGTTAGAAATGATTATTTGAATAAAAGGAGGATTTAGGAAAGAATAAGCTCTAGAAAACTCTAGAAACTTAGAGGATCAAAATTTTTCATTTTCCTCTCAAATTTGGACGACCTAAATCATTAATTAAGTCTGACTTACAGTAAATTTTATGGCTAGAATTAAGCTAAATGGAAGGCTTAAACAAAAACAAGAACAAATGACTAAAAATTTAACCAAATGGAAAGAATTGATTGGAAATTGAACTAAGGGTTGAGATTTATCCAATTAAGGGTGGAGATGAGCTCAACAAGTTCACAAAATTTTTCTTATAAATAAAGGTCCTAGAAAAATTAAAAAGGGAAGGAAAATTGAAAAACACAAAGAAAACTCTTGCAAAATTTCTGCTAAAAAACTATCCAAAATAATTCTAACCAATTTTAGACCCTTCAAATCGGTGAATTAAGCTTCAATTTCAAGTTGAAGGCTGAATACATTCAAGGAGAAAATTAAAAGAGCTAAATCAAATTTAGGAGGAGAAAGCGGAGTAAGAGAATTTTCAACAACATACCTTTTCAAGGTTAATTTGGAACTTAATCAAATAATTTAACCTCACCTACACCACAAGCATGCTAAATTTCAAGTCAATTTCATGTTTAATTGCTTGATTTAGATTTAATTGTTTAATTAAGAAAAATTAGGGTTAGGGTTCTTGATGAACCAAATTTGGGGGTTTTTAATTATTTCATTCAATTAGTGTTTTGTCACTTGATTTTGACTTATTTGAGCATGAATTAGTATTTAGGAATGAAAACTTACACTTTAACTAAAGAAAAATTCACTAATTTGTAGGAATTATATTGGGCCTAAACTAAACAAATTAGGGTTTGATTTCAAAGCAATTTGATTCTCATTTTATGGTTCATTCACACTTGAATAAGCATGTTTTGATGAGTAGAAATGAAAAATTTACAAAAAATGGAAGAAAATGGGTTATATGGGATTGGGCTCAATACGGGTTTGGACATGAATCAAGGTTCTAAATTTTAATTAAATTGATTCTTATAGTGAGTACATATTTAGGCTAATTATTATTAAAATGGTAGGGCAAAATGAGAAGAAAATCTTAGAAATTTAAATGGTGAAACATTTGGCCTAAATGAGGAATTTTAGGAATTAAGTTTAAATTAAGTTCCAAACCCTAAATTAGTTCATTAAAGGTCAAAATAATGTAAAAGGATGGTTTAGAATAAAAGGGTTCATAAAAATCTAGAGAAAAATTGATTTAGGAAAAATTGGACCGTAGGCCCATTAAGGCCCAAACCGAAATTGGACTACATAATCAATGAAATAATCCCTAATTAAGTTAGAACAGAGATTTGTACCTAATTTGATAAATATTAGATTCAAAAGGGTAGTTACGAACCTAAGGAAAATAACTTAGAAATGTTAAAATGTAGAGTAAGTTAATGAAAATTAAAATGAAATGTAATTGTTTACTTACTCTTATGTTATGATTGTATTTTCTTTCCAATAAGGTATGTGATGCAATGAATAATGAATGATGGTTATGCTTGAGTTGTGATTGATGATGAGAATTATGATCATGGTAGCTAATGCATCAATGATGGTTGCACTCGCTTGATATGAATTGATATTAGTTATGTCGTTATGCCGCCCAAGTTTATACGTGTTTTCATGATGATTTAGGACATGCAATTGGGTATCACTCGTTAGCATGCACTCGCCATTCAAAATCCATATGCATGTCAAAGCTCATGAATATGTTTTAAGTCATGAAAATGTATTTTATGCTATGAGTTTCCGATAGCGATCAAAATTATTTTAAAGAAAATGATTTTCATGACTTTGAGGATTTTTATGAGGATAGGCTTCGTGGGTTTTTCATATGGTAATGGTAATGGTTCGGGATCGGGTAAGTGTAGACGTGCACTTTTAGAGGCTCGGTAGGACACGTCCGTGGATAAGTTTGGTTCGCCGGATATATGTTATGGAAACCCCGAATTACCTAAATTAGACATGTCCAAAGAGAGAAAAAAAATTTTAGACTCGTTTATGAAATGTTTTATGACATGAGAAAAATGATTTATTATGTATATATCAATATTTTATACATGCACGTGCATTGCATGCGTAGGTTAACTTATCGAGTTATTACTCACGTATATGTTTGTGGTATAGCTATCCTGGGTAAAAATGGTGTTCATAACCTTTGAGCCGACTACCGAAGAAGGCATCCGTCGTGCGTATGTTGGATGTGGTTGGCGTATGGACTCGATACATACAGTAACTCTTGTTGTACCGACTATTTTAGTTTACTTTATAGCAATGGTTGTGTTCGTTATGCGTTCCTTAAAGCTATGATACGAGTAGATAAAATGGGATAGGAAACTAGATGTAAATAGGAAATAAGCCATTTTTGTAGTAGGTGGCAATGAACTGATAACCTAGTTTTTAATGTAAATATTTATGTGTATGTAAGTAAAGTACCATTAATGAACTCGCTAGCTTAGTAATTGTGTAAATTAATTATCAGCACAATAATTAGTATAACTAAATGAAGAAATGATTTTTTTTAAAAAAAGAATATCACAAATTTGGATAGTTTGATTTAGAGAACATATATAGGATTGTGAAATGCAAAACATTTTATAGGACATTTGGGATCAGGCGTAGGACCTAACCGCAATTAGTAAACTTTCACATCGTAGGTGTACCATCTAGATCTATAGATAAGTCATAGTGCTTTGGTAACTTATGTTCATTGCACTTTGAACGTAAGTTGTCAACGGTAATATTCTCGACCTATTAGGTCTTAGATCTATAGATAAGTCACGGTGCTTTGGTAACTTATATTCATTGCACTTTGAACGTAAATTGTTGATGGTAATATTCTCGACCTATTAGGTCTTAGATCTATAGATAAGTCACGGTGCTTTGGTAACTTATGTTCATTGCACTTTAAACGTAAGTTGTCGACGGTAATATTCTCACCTATTAGGTCCTAGGTTGGGGGTGTTACACATAGCTTTTAACCACTTGTTTCAAAAAAAAAAAAAAATCAATATCAAGCAACTTAAACTCAAAAACACTACCAATGTACTTCAAGCTAGGATTTCAAACAGACTCTCCTCCAATACACAATGTCAAGGCTAATTTTGACATTTTACTTATGATTTTGACAAAACACAAACAACAAAGTATAAGAGATCATAACTTTTTTATTTTTTGTAAATAAATAACCAAACCCTAAGATATAATAAAATCTCTAATAGTAAAACATCAAAAAAATTGACATTAAGAAAGACAAAATACATTAAAAAAATTACCTAAAGATTAAAAATTTACTCGAATTAAGAATTAAAAGGGTTAATGCAAACAACATATTGTCACTTATTAAGAAGACATGTTGTTTGTATTAATTCTTTTAATTAAATTTATTTATTTTCAAAAAATATTTTTCTTTTGGAAAAATAAACACTAGAATGCTTAAATAATATTGTTTAAGCATTTCGATTGATGGCCAAAGGATTGATTGCTAGAAATAACAGAATAAGGATAACATTTGTCTAAAAAATAATTGTTTAGAGTCTAAAATTGCTTAAATTAGTAGTAAAAGCTTGCAATTGCCAAAAACCTAATAATTTGAAGGTAATTTTTGCTGTTAAACATATATCATTAGTTCATTCTTGTTAAAAAGATCATAGTACATATACATTATTTTAAAATCTTTTATTTATCTTTTTTATATTCTAATCCAAAGCCATATCATTACTTTCTTCTTGTCATACAAGATTTCATTTCTTAAGCTCGTAAGAGAAGACAGCATATAATCAAAAGCCAATCTTTTTATATTTCTGAAACGACATCAAACATATAATTGATACGTTATATGGTATGACACGTATCATTTGAAGAAAGCTAACTCATTGTTTTTTAAAACAGTCATTTAAAAAATGTGATAAATCTATTTTGGTGTTTGATTGGTAAGTTCATATAATACCCTTCCATTTTCAACCAGTACGTGCGTCAAAACACCAAGTAAAAAATTTTCAAGAAATCTAAGCTAGTTATTTAAAAATTTATGAGATTCGATTGAAGCAATAGTATTCTCGAAATACAAATTAACTAAACAAACTATGCAGATAAATCTCTATTTTTCTGGTGTTGTGAATGCTGTCGCATATAGTAGCTCTCCAATTAATGTTACTGTATAATTGAACTGATCCGTGCATTAGAGCATTCTTTCAGCTTGCTTATGTTCTGTTTTATCCCCTGTAAGCAAAATCTATGAAGATGTCAATTTAGCTAAAATTCTTGCACTTGCTTGAATGCTTGATAACCAAAAACTGAGCGAGCTTCTCTTTTAATCAAAGCATTAACATGAATAGAATGTTTATTATGATTAATATTAATATTACAGGCAAATAGACAAGTTAAGCATATAGACTGTGTACACTGGCTTGATCTATCAAAGAACAGTGAGTAAAAACAATAAAATAAAATAAAAAATGAACATCGACAAATGTCTGACCTATAAGTTTATCTTCTTCTGTAACATCTAAACCACAAAATCACAAAGCATAGCACTCTGTATCCAATAATGAAACCAAACATCACAGCTAAATTGCTCCATTTTTGTGAATCTTTTAGACCTTGCTGTCTTAGGAACCCACTTCCATAAAGATTGCATTCCCCTTTATCATACTCTAAGCACCTCTTGTTGCCTTGCTCTCCTCCATATTCATTTATTAAAAAACATTCAAATGGGTACTTAAACAAACTCAAATAGTGCATGAAAATCCAGTAACTAGGAATCTTACTCTTCGATATGAAGTACCCGGAAAATAGAAAGAAAGATCCCATCAATCCTGAAATAACTGATGTCCCCATTATGAAATTAGGCACTAGCGCACTGAAACAAGCAACGAAAGAATTCGACATCAAAATCACCATCCACACCACCAGAGAGAAGTAAAGAAATCCGTAGATTGAGCTCCTCAAACCAACTAGCCAATAAACTGGGGTAGAGTACAGAAGAGCAACCATTAAAAGGAAAGGCAGAAAGATGAGGGTGTTTGATAGAACATAGGAAGAAACTCTATAGGCTCCTCTTGAAGTCTCTCTCATTAGTATTTTTCTTTCTTGCAAGAAAATAGGCAGGCCTTCTGTTGTGGAAGATAACAAGAAGGTGAGACTGAAGACAAAGAATCCGATTCGTGTCTGCAAAGCAACCGGTCCTGTTTTCTTTCCAACATTCAAGAATATGGTTCCAAGTATTAGTCCAGCCACCAGTGCTTGTATTACTCTTGTGGCAAACAGTTCCTTAGTTCTGAAAATGTTGCTGCAAAATCTTTGTCCTAGTATCAAAACCTCCTCCAATATAGAATTGGGATAGCAAAGAGACTTTTCTTGATGATTGTTTGCGTATAGAGTCCTCTCGATATGACCTTCACTAATATTTCTGATCTCATGAGGGCATTGATTGTTGAGAGACACTGAATTTTGCTCAGCCAGGCTTTCTATAGCATCAATAGAAAACTCGAGCACATTGACATGGAGAGGAATCTGATGACCAGAAAACTTGAGTCTCTCTTCAAGAAAATGCAGCGAGCCATCATGGATAACATATCCATTGGAAAGCAATACAAGCCGATCGAAGAGCTCGAGTATTCGAAAACCAGGTTGGTGGATAGTTAAAACAATGGTTTTACCCTGATGCAACGCCATGGACTTGAGAAGAGTCGCTACATGAAGAGCTGATGCTGAATCTAGACCTGAAGTTGGTTCATCTATGAAAACAACAGCAGGGTCGTGGACTAAATCAACTCCAATTGAAACTCTACGCCTTTCCCCACCGGAAATGCCCCAATTTGATCCCTCACCTATCCTTGAATCTGCAACAAGTTCCAGTCCAAGCTCCTTCAGCAGCCTTCTCACTCTATTAGCAGCCTCCTTTTTACCTCCAGGTAGCCTTAAAAGTGCACTGTACAATAATGTTTCTTTAACTGTAAGCAATGGAAATAGAGAATCATCTTGAGTGACATACCCGGAAATTCTCCGAAAATGTTTTGCATTCATTGGCTGGCTATTGACCAGCACTTGACCGGACACTTCACACGAAGATATCTTTCCAGCAAGGATCTCTAGTAATGTGGTCTTCCCTGCTCCACTAGGGCCAGCAATCGCGGTAATCTCTCCAGGACTGGCTGCACATTTTACATCCCTCAGAATGACTTTAGGAGCTCTTCTTAGAGTCCCTCCACAGTAAATCCAATTAAGCTCATCAAATCTGCTGCATAACTTGTAGGACAGATTTTTGGTTTCTAGTGTATACGAGGTTTTGTGGCGAGAAACTGGTGCCTTCACCGGCAATTCCATTGAGGATGGAGGTGCAAAGGAAGTCCAAGCGGAAGAAGATGAAAATAAGATAGGAAAGATGTGTGAAGAAAGGATAGGAGAAGCTAGGAGATGAGCTAACGCACCAACCTGGGCGGTAGACACCAAGGTAGTTAAAACGGCATGCATGGGCTTAGGCAGTTTACGCATTGGGCTTGACTTGTTGGTGCTTTCTATTTTTCGTTCGAGGAAGTGGGATTTCTGGAAGGGGTTTGGAAAGTTAGTGTTGCAAGAAAACTCGAGAAAGGAAGGAAGAAAGAAAGAAAAAGTAGACCTGGCGGTAGCGAAGTATTTCAGGTGAGCTGATTGTTGACTGTATAAGGTTGGTGTTGGTGGCCTTACCATCTTCCCCACCCTAACTGCCAGCTCAAGAGAAGATTTGTTGTCGAATTATAAAAACGGCCGGAAATTATATATATATAAACACTAAATCAAAATGAATTTTTATTATTTATAACATTATACATGATATACTCGAAAATTACAATTTCTTTCACTATTCATATTCATGCCATTGTTATAATTTTTAAGACATTTTGAAGCATTTGATAGACAACCTTTCATGCTTTTAGGAATATTATATTTTGGTTCTTAATTTTTCTGTATATTTATTTTTTATTTTAAACTTCAATTGTAATGTGATTTGATTCCATTTTGTTTTAATATTTTTTGTTAATTACTTTTATTATTTAAAATTTACTACTTCAATTTGTCTTTTTTTAAAAAAAATTCTCATCCAATTAATTTAAAATTATATTTACTCATAGTTTTGATTTATTTTTCTATATCTATGGATTTTGAAATAAATTTTTAGAAATAGATTATTTTTTCTTTGAAAAATAAATTTATATAATTTTTAAATTATAGTGGCATGATTAATATATATATAATTTGTCTAAAATAAATTTTTAGATTAAAAGTGTTTTTCAAATAATTTTTTCTCGATTTTTTTTTAAAAAACTCAAATTATTTAATTAATAATTAGAAGTCAAATGTGAAAAGTAAAAAGGAGATGGTTGCTTTGCGTGTGAAACCCGTATTCAACGACTACCCATCTATAGCATTGAAATAAAAAATTATTTGAGGAAAAAGAAAAAAGAATTCATGTGTTTTATTTGTTTCTTGTTTATATAATCAAAATTTATTGAAATCAGCTTTTTAATGATTTCAAATTTAGTCAATATATTCCTTAAAATTTAACTTTTTTTTATATAGTGTTTTTTGTTTTATACCGAAAACTCGAATCCACTTAGCATAGTTATGATGTATAAAAAAAATATTGAATCGTTATTTTTTTATAATTTAACTATGCAACTACTACTACACTAAGCATTTACTATTTATTTATTTTTGAATATTTAAAATTTTTTTATTTTAAATTAAATTATAAAAATTATATTTTGGTTTAACCACTCAATAATTCAAATTAATATAGTTTTTTATTTTAATATTGATCATTATTTTTTGAATAAATATGTAAAAATTAAATTCTCATTATTTCAAAAACTAATATTCTCATCAACATTAAATAAAAATAAAAAAATAATTTTTTATTTGTTCAATTCTAAGTAAGTTTTTATTAATTGCTACTTTAGTTTTTCCACACAATCTTACAAAATACTAGAGCTTTTCAAAAAAAAAATTATTTAATTTTCTTTTTAGTTAATAATCCATGGATTAAAAGGAATAAATCCTTTTTTCAACAAAAAAATTATAAAAAACACAAATAAGGAAATAGCATGTATTCAAAGACTAGCCATGTATAGTATAGAAATAAAAAATTATTTAAGAAGGAGAAAAAAAAGAAAAATAATTCACGTGTTTTATTTATTTCTTCTTTATATAATCAAAATTTATCAAAATTAATTTTGCAATAATTTTTATTTTAGTCTATTAACTTCAAATTTAGTCAATGTATTCCATACAAGTTAACTTTTTTTATAGTGTTTTATTTTTTATACTGAAAACTCTAAAATCACTTAGTATAATTATGATGTATAAAAAAATATTGAATCACTTTTAAAAAAATAATTAACTATGCAACTACTACCGCACTAAGCATTTACTACTTATTTATTTATTTTTGAATATTTTAAAATTAATTTATTTTAAATTAAATAATTAAAATTATGTTTTGACTTAACCACTCAATGATTCAAATTGATAATTCAAATTAATATAGTTTTTGATTTTAATATTATTCATTCTTTTGTGAATAAATATATAAAAATTAAATTCACATTCTTTCAAAAACCGATATTCTTATCAACATTAGATTAAAAAAAACTTTTTTTTATTTGTTCAATTTTATATAAGTTTTTATTAATTGTTACTTTAGTTTTTTGACACATTCTTATGAAATACTAAAACTTTTTTAAAAAAATTTATTTAATTTTCTTTTTAGTTAATAATTCGTGGATTAATAAGAATAAATCTTTTTTCTAATAGAAAAATTATGAAAAACACAAATAAGAAATAACTCGTATTCAAGGACTAGCCATGTATAGCATATAAATAAAATATTATTTAAGAAGGAGGAAAAAGAAAAAGAAAAAGAAATCATGTGTTTTATTTATTTCTTCTTTATATAATCACAATTTATTAAAATCAATTTTGTAATAATTTTTATTTTATTCTATTAACTTCAAATTTTTATTTTATTCTACTAACTTCAAATTTAGTCAATATATTCCTTATAAGTTAAATTTTTTTATAGTTTTTTTTATTCTATGTTGAAAACTCTGAACCCACTTAGTTAAGTTATGATATATAAAAAAGTATTGAATCATTATTTTTTTATAAATTAACCATGAAGCTACTACCGCACTAAGCATTTACTACTTATTTATTTATTTTTGAATATTTTAAAATTAATTTATTTTAAATTAAATAATTAAAATTATATTTTGGCTTAACCACTCATTGATTCAAATTAATATAGTTTTTTATTTTAATATTATTCGTTCTTTTGTGAATAAATATATAAAAATTAAATTCACATTCTTTCAAAAACTCGATATTCTTACCAACATTAGATAAAAAAAAAATATTTGTTTAATTCTATGTAAGTTTTTATTAATTGTTACTTTAGTTTTTTGTCATAGTCTTATGAAATACTAAAACCTTTTTTCAAATTTTTATTTAATTTTCTTTTTAGGTAATAAGAATAAATCCTTTTTCTAACAAAAAAATTATGAAAAACACAAATAAGAAATAGCATGTATTCAAGGACTAGTCATGTATAGCATAGAAATAAAAAAATTATTTAAGAGGGAGGGAAAAGAAAAAGAAAAGGAATTCATGTGTTTTATTCATTTCTTCTTTATATAATTACAATTTATCGAAATCAATTTTGTAATAATTTTTATTTTATTCTATTAACTTCAAATTTTTATTTTATTCTATTAACTTCAAATTTAGTCAATGTATGGAATACACGTTGACTTTTTTATAGTGTTTTTATTTTATGTTGAAAACTCCGAAATCACTTATTATAGTTATGATGTATAAAAAAAAATTATTAAATCACTGTTTTTTTTTTTTAGAAATTAACTATGCAACTACTACTACACTAAGCATTTACTATTTCTTAATTTACTTTTGAATATTTTAAATTAATTTATTTTAAATTAAATAATTAAAATTATGTTTTTTCTTAACCACTCAATGATTCAAATTAATATAGTTTTATTTTAATATTATTCATTCTTTTGTGAATATATATATTAAATTCACATTCTTTCAAAAACCGATATTCTTATCAATATTAGATAAAAATAAAAATAATTTTTTTTATTTGTTCAATTCTATGCAAGTTTTATTAATTGTTACTTTAGTTTTTTTGACACATATCTTATGAAATACTAAAAAAAATTAAAATTGTTTTATTTAATTTTCTTTTTAGTTAATAATCCATAGATTAATAAGAATAAATCTTTTTTCTAACAGAAAAATTATGAAAAACACAAATAAGAAATAGTCTATATTCAAGGACTAGCCATGTATAGCATATAAATAAAAAATTATTTAAGGAGGAAAAAGAAAAGGAAAAAGAATTCATGTGTTTTATTTATTTCTTCTTTATAATAACAATTTATCGAAATTAATTTTGTAATAATTTTTATTTTATTATATTAAATTCAAATTTAATCAATATATTCCTTACAAGTTAATTTTTTTTTTTTGTGTTTTTTTATGCTGAAAATTCTGACCCCACTTAGTTAAGTTATGATATATATAAAAAAATATTGAATCATTATTTTTTTCAGAAATTAACTATGCAACTACTATTGCAAGAAGTATTTACTATTTATTTATTTATTTATTAATATTTTAAATTAATTTATTTTAAATTAAATAATTAAAATTATGTTTTGGCTTAAACACTTAATGAATTAATATAGTTTTTATTTTAATATTATTCATTCTTTCGTGAAAAAATATATAAAAATTAAATTTATATTCTTTCAAAAACCGATATTCTCATCGACATTAAATAAAAAAAATATTTTTTCAGTTCTATGTAAGTTTTTATTAATTGTTACTTTAGTTTTTCGACACAATCTTATGAAATACTAAAGCTTTTTTAAAAATTTTTATTTAATTTTCTTTATAGTTAATAATCCATGGATTAATATGAATAAATCATTTTTCTAGCAAAAAAAAAAAAATTACAAAAAGCACAAATAAGAAATAGCATATATTCAAGGACTAGCCATGTATAGCATAGAAATAAAAAATTATTTATGAAGAGGAAAAAAAGAAAAAGAATTCACGTGTTGTATTTGTTTCTTCTTTATATAATCAAAATTTATCGAAATAAATTTTACAATAATTTTTATTTTAGTCTATTAACTTCAAATTTAGTCAATATATTCCTTACAAGTTAACTTCTTCTTTTTTTATAGTGTTTTTTTGTTTTATGCTGAAAACTCTAAAATCACTTAGTATAGTTATGATGTATAAAAAAATATTGAATCGTTGTTTTTTAGAAATTAATTATGCAACTACTAGTGCACTAAGCATTTACTATTTATTTATTTTTAAATATTTTAAAATTAATTTATTTTAAATTAAATAATTAAAGTTATGTTTTGGCTTAAACACTCGATTCAAATTAATATATTTTTTATTTTTAATATTATTCATTATTTTGTGAATAAATATATAAAAATTAAATTCACATTCTTTCAAAAAAAGATATTCTCGTCAACATTAAAAAAAATTAAAAAAAAATTATTCATTCAATTCTATGTATGTTTTTATTAATTGTTACTTTAGTTTTTCAACACAATCTTATGAAATACTAAATCTTTTTAAAAAATTTTAATTTAATTTTCTTTTTAGTTAATAGTCCATGGATTAACAAGAATAAATTCTTTTTCTAACAAAAAAATTACGAAAAACACAAATAAGAAATAACATGTATGCAAGAACTAGCCATGTATAGCATAACAATAAAAAATTATTTATAAAGAAGGAAAAAAAAGAAAGAAAGAAAAAGAATTCATGTGTTTTATTTGTTTCTTCTTTATGTAATCAAAATTTACTAAAATCAATTTTGTAATAATTTTTATTTTATTCTATTAACTTCAAATTTAGTCAATATATTCCTTATAAGTTAACTTTTTTCTTATATAGTGTTTTTTTTGTTTTATATGGAAAACTTTGAACCCACTTACTATAGTTATGATGTATAAAAAAATATTAATCGTTTTTTTTTAAAATTAACTATGCAACTACTACAACACTAAGCATTTATTATTATTATTTTTTTGAATATTTTAAATCAAATGATTAAAATTATGTTTTGGCTTAACCACTTAATGTTTCAAGTTAATATAGTTTTTTTATTTTAATAGTATTCCCTTTTTTGTGAATAAATATATAAAAATTAAATTCATATTCTTTCAAAAACCAATATTCTCATCAACATTAAATAAAAAAAATTATTTTTTCAATTCTATTTAAGCTTTTATTAATCGCTACTCTAGTTTTTCGACACAATCTTATGAAATACGTAAGCTCTTTTAAAAATTTTTATTTAATTTTTTTAGTTAATAATCCATGGATTAAAAAGAATAAATCTTTTTTTCTAACAGAAAAATTATAAACAACACAAATAAGAAATAATTAAATATAAAATTTTGATTAAAAAATTATAAATAATTTTTTTTATCTTTGATTTTATATATTTTTATAGATTCACATCATAGTATAAACTATTAAATGAAAATGATATTTTTAAATAATTTTATATTTTTTATTTAACTCGTAGCATAGCACGAGCAAAAAAACTAATATCCATCTATGTTGGGAAGCTAAACCATTCAAGGGTTTTCCTTTTTAGAGAAAAAATAGTGAAGGATTTAAAAATGTACGAAGCTACTTGTAAGGTTGTTATACATTCAAAACAGGACTAACGATCCGAGACCCACAAAAAATCATAACTGGATGATACTGTAGTAAAATAGCTTGTCAGACCGGTAAAATTAACTAATAAAAACCCAAGTTTTATAAGGATTTTATAATTTTTGGTTATTCGGGTTGTTTTAGATTACTAGGTTGCCGTCCTAAAAAATAAACCAATGAAACTACATAGTTTTGACCTAAACTTTAAGACCACGTCTCCTTTCTTTTGCTGTCATTTTATCCAAAGCTTAAAAAAATCAATCAATCAAGTGCATCTTTCTCAAACCCCAATCACCAAACTCTTCGCCGGAAGCTCTCCATCCTTGAAAATCACCGGTCAAGGAAGGCTGTCTTAGGTAAGTAATCAGGCCATATCTCTTTAATTATTTGGTAATTTCATCAAAATATCAAATCACCAAATACGCTTATACTTTTAATCATATTAAAAAAAGTAATAGATATCGACCCCTCCATCCAACTCTGTTACGTAAGTTCTTAACTACCGTTAGCTGACCAAAATAAACGAGAAGATGATCGACAGAGGTACGAATAATATTAAAAATCGAAAAAAAAATATTGAATAAAAATACATATACCATTTGAGTTAAATAATACGAAAATGTAACATCTACTTAATAAATAAATTTAAAGAATATTAAGGAATTGTTACATTAGAATGATAAAAGTAGTACAACAACTTGGTGGAAACATTAAAATGTTTATAGTCCCCCTAGCCCGTCCCATCCTGGTCAGCCTCGTCGCGGTACGTCTTCTTTGGCAGAGAAGTTTATGGAACCCAGTGGAGATACTTGATTTTTAGCGACGTGAGGCGATGGAGTTGCAACTATGGAAGGTGGAGGAGGTTGCGTTGTGATAACAGGTGGAGCTGATTGAGTAGTAGGATGGAGGGGACAATAAAGAGTACCAATTTGTTTAGTAGAAAGGTCATCTGGTGAGTTTCTCCTCATTTTAGTAATTTGTCCAATTAGTAATGAAAAATTTAGGGATATGTCTGTTTTTCTTTGGCTTTTATGCTGAAGTAATGTTTTTGGATTTTGTGAAATTTGCCATGTATATTAATTAGAGCATGAACTTGACTCTAAGCAAGAGGTTTTTGTGTCCAATTTTATTATTATTGGTTGCTAGATTATTGAAAGAATTGATAATTAATATTTAAAATTTTATTTTTAGGACTTATTATATGCATGTTTTTTTCCCTTTGCTGTTTAGAGTTTAAAAGCTTATAATTTTTCGATTTTCTAGACTCTCCAACGATCCTTGTTCAAAAAACAATTTTAATAACCTTGCCTACTTGATTTATAAGACGAATACCATTGAGAATCTATTTGGTGTTGCACTGTTGTGTTATGGGATAAAAACAATATTTGATAATTTATTGCTATGTTGTGTTTATAATACTTAAAATAGCTAAACTGAATTTGATTAATTTTTTTTAATTGTGCTCTTGAGATCTGAAATGACCAATAAGTAGTATAACATACTATAAATATTTTAACAAGTATATTTTATCTATATTAAGTGACTTATGACTTTTTAAACTCATATAACATGTGTGTATATTTTTTTATGATGATGATTTGTAAGTTCAATTTTTTTTTTTGAAAAAAAAAAGTAAAAATAAGGTGATAATATATATGTGTGCGTGTATATAGAATTATTATGCAGAACACCTGGAAAAAAAATTGTCATTTTAATTAAAAATAAATAGACCCATCCTAAGCCGTTATGGTTTTTTCAGAAGCAAAGAGCGCTCCGAATTTTAAGAGTGTTCATTCATTTTTTCAGCTGGATTCGGTTTCAATTAACCAAATTTTAAAACATAAAAATCAAACCAAAATATTATTCAGTTTTTTTATTAAAAAACGTTTTCGGTTAATTTGGTGTAAACTAATTTTTTTTTTAATTTCCTTCAATAAAACTCTCCTACGGCCAGTGCCACAAAACAAAAGGCTTAAGCCAAAACAGAAAAGGAAAAAAAAAAACAGAAGTTCAGAACGGTCAAAATTCACTGCCGAGTAAAGGCTTTCTACATGAAAAAGCCTCTTCACCTCATACTTTTTACTGCCAAAGATCACCAAATCCTGTAAAGAAAAGTAAAAATGTCAGATAAATACTTCTACAAATAAACATAGACACACACAAACACAAAATTTACCCATGTCCCTCAAAAATCCAAAACACCATTATATTAAATTGATTGATTGTTATATCATGATGATAAAAAAAAAAAAAACATGTACAAATATATTAAATTGAATTTAATCTCATGAATACTATAAATCATTTTCGGAATAGATGAATTCTAAGAAAATACATCATGTCACAAGCACGGCTCAAATATTTTTTTGTTTTTTACAATGATCATCACCGTATAATGTAGGCACTGCTTTATATTCATGCATTTGTAAGGGAAAAAAATGAAGACACAATCATGATAAAAATACAAAATATAACAAGAAATATTATTAATGGAAGAAAAAAGAAAAAGAGCTGAATTTTCCACCAATTTTGATCTTGTTTGGTATGCTATTAGTAAGCAAACAAAACTGTATCTCACTCTCCACTCTCCCTCTTCCTCAACGGAATTTCCAAAGCCTCCCTCTCTAATCAAAACAATGCCTTCTCATAGTTATCCACGAAAGAAAAAGGAAAAAATACACACAAACATAAGAAAAAAGAAAAAACTCTGCAGGGGAACTAAAGAAGGAAGAGGCAACGTTGCGGTGGGGGACTAACGAGTGAGGGCTACGGACAGGCAGCAAGGGGGAGGCCGCTGTTGAGAAAGGGAGGTCCGTCTGGGTGTGTGGCTAAGGCAGTGAAGTCTGGGTGTTGGGTTAGGACGGAGGCCGCTGTGAGATAGAAGAAAGAGTGAGATCTGGCGTCCAGGTGTTCAAATTTTCTTGAATAAACTAACTAAATCAAACAGCCTAAAATCAGCTTACAGCTCTCAGGTGAAGTTTGCAACGTGTCCGGACAATCTGAATTACAAGTTTACAAAGATGAGCATTCACAACGGTATATATCTTAAATAGGCAATTCAAATGTCTTAAACTAGTTTGCAATTAAAATAACAAGTTTGAATTGAAAATTACAAAATTAAACTACTTTATGTACAAAAAAAATAATAATAATAAGATTATAAGCTTAACAATATAACAAATATAAATAGAAACTCACATTTGCTAATGATAAAAAAATACTTGCAAATGGATACTCTAAATACATCAATCCTTTCACGAAATATGAGTGCAGAACAAAAAATCATAAACCAATTTATCAATCTATTTAATTACAACCTAGCCATTTAATTTTGGTCTACTTGATTATAATTTACATATTACTGCTTACAAGTTATAGACTAATAAGCTTCAAGTTTATTGAAACTTAAGATAGTGTTTTGAGAGTTGTTTGCAATTTACAAGTTGAATTTGTTTGTATGTTGTATTATGCTCTTGCTTTTTATTATACCTTGTTTTCATAAGGGTTAAATACACCTCATGTCTTTGTACTACAGTGAAAATATCATTCCAACTTTTCCACTCGGATATAATTCATAACAAATCTTATACTATTAGTCTTTGGCGCAACACAGTCCCTTCGTTAATATTTTTTCATTAAATTAACCAATTTTCGTTAGTTGACTTACATTTAACTAATTAACCGATGCATGTGTCGGTTTAATAGTAAAAATATAATTTTCCTTTTAAAATTAGTTATATATATATATATATATTTTAAAAAAATTTAAAATAATAAATCATTATTACAAAGTCATTAAAATTGAAAAAAAAACTAAAGAATTTTTTTTATTAAAAAAATCATAATTTTTTTTAATTTCTAATAATTATTAATCAATAAATATTTTAAAAAGAATCTAAAGAAATTATTTTTTTTTATTTTTTAATGATTTTATAATAATTATTAATAATGAAAAATTAAAAACAAAACCTAATGAAATTTTAATGATTTTATAATAATTATTAATAAATAACTTAAAAAATCTAAAGAAAATTTAAAAAAATGAAAAAATTAATGATCGATATTTTTTCAAATTATTTTTATTAAAATAATTAATAATTACTAAAAAATTCTTTATATTTTTTGAATTTTTTTAATAATTATTATAAAATATTTAAAATTGCAAAAAAAAATCTTTAAATTTTTTTAAGTTTTGATTCATTAATAATTATTATAAAATCATTAAAAATTGAAAAAATAATTTCATTAGATTTAAAAAAAAATTATTTAAGAATTATTATTATAAATGCATTAGAAATTGAAAAAAAAATCTTATTATTTTTCTTTAGATTTTTTCAATTATTAATGATTTTATAATAATTATTAATTATTTTAAATAAAAAATAATTTTAAAATAAAATTATATTTTCACTCTTAAATTGATATGTATCATCGCTTGATTGATCAAATATTAGTCAATTAACAAAAACTAGTACATTTGATGGAATAAGTTAATGGAGGGGTTGTTTTGCACCAATGTCCAATAATACAAAATTTGATATGAATTATATCTAGATAGAGGATTTGCAATAATATTTTCGATATAGTATAGAGGCACAAAATGTGTTTAACCTATATTTATAGGCATCTTACTTTTTTATGATCTTTCTTAGGGGAGCATGTTTTTCCGCATGCTACTATGTACCTCTATAATGTTTCATGTTTCCTTACAACTTCTCACTCTGTATTGCAATGCCTTATGTCCTTTTTTTTTTTTTTTTTATCTTGATTGTGTTTTTTTTTATACTGAATTTTTGTTGATCACTTTGTTAATTGATTTTTTGGTTTTCAATATTGTTATTCTTTAAGTGTGTAATAATAATTCAATCGTATTAAGAGTTCATGCTCTATGATCTTCTTAAAAATTATTGCATTGGTTCTACCCTTTTTAGACCTTTCTAACCGTAAGTCGGGCTTCCAATCAAATGGATTTAAGTTAGGTATTTAGGTATTTGGTCAAAGTTTTGAAGCTAAATTAGACATTAGACTCTCAATTAGACATGGGTCCGACCATTTCTCTTTTAATTTGGTGAGTCGTCCAATCTAACTCAAATATGGGTATGACATCTCGTTCTTATTCTTTCTATATGTGGAAGTCTTTTTCACGTATGAAAAGAAATAACTTTTTTGGCGCCTAATTACTCATTCTTTTAGTTTCCAATATATAACAAATTCTCTCGTGTTTAGTCTTTCTATCTTGTATTTAGTTATATTGTAATGATAACGAGTACACATCTTTATCACTTTGTAATTTCCATCTCTTAACTTCTCTACATATTAAGCTCATCGTTATTTATTCACTAATTTCTAGGGTTTCTTTCTATTTTCCATTAATCATGCAATCTTCATTTCTCGTTAGTTTCTTTCAATACCTATGGCTTCTATGGAATTTGCTTCCAACCCTTCTTTCAAACCTAGAGCTCGGAGGTATTCCTTTTTTTAAAGAAAAGTCCATTTTTTCTTTTACTCTACAATTGGACTTTCTCTTTAAATTAATTTCTTTTTGTGAACCTTCATAAGTATAAGTATCACCTTATCAAGGGTTTTTCTTATAGACACCCATGAGCATTTTGTTGTTGCTCATACCCATATTCTTGGCCTATTTTTTTTTTTTTTTTTTTTTTTTTGTGGTTATGGCCGCAAAGATGTTGTTCATAAAGCTTAAGAATTGTTAGGGAATTTGATTTTAGATGATACAAGTCGAGTTATTTTATAAAGTTAAGATTGCTCGTAACACAAAATAAAATCACTTATCTAGTTATTCTAAACATACGAGTCCAATAAATGACTTGAGGTGCATGCTTTGTATTCTAACCTAAAGCACCGACCTTCCATCCGGTAGAAGAAGAGGAGAATGAGGATATGAAACCTTTTCATCTTACCCTAAATTGCACTCTCATTTCCAATCCTTCTCTTCTTAGTGTAGTGATTACCCTTTGGAATATAGGTAATAATTGTATCAATACTCGAAAGGCTTTTATGGGTATCTTTACAACTCACATGCTTCGTTAGTAAGGACATAGTCTACAAGGCCCAATTTCTATAGGTGGTAATGGATGTAAAACCATATGCCACTTATGCTTAAGCACTCGCTCCTTCGGTCATTGCAACCATATGGACTTAGGATTCTACCTATTATGGTTATGAAGTACATAGTTTGTTGTATGAGTACCACTCGTAGGTTCAAGGGACATGCCCATGTTTGTGGCTATTTTTAAATATAATGAACCTTTTTTTTTTTTTTTACCTCATTTGCTCATTGTTTATGCTTACCATGGTATCTACCAAGCTATTTTTATTTTTTCCACCAAAATTCTCATGGCTCTTTGTGGTTAGTCACACTTTGAGTTATAGTTTATTTTTCTCATTTAATTTGTAGGTCTTTATATTTTGATGACAATACAAATTTTTTGACATATTGTCACTATTTTAGTATTTACTCTTCTTTTATAAATGAGTATAGTTATAAGGAGTGTGTTTCTAAAATCTATTTTGGAACCATTTTTCAATCTTTTAGGTTCCCTTCTTCCTTAGAAAATGTGATCTTGGTTGTTATAAAGTCTACACTTTGCAAAGTGTCTTGAAGGAAGACAAGTTAGACTATTGGAAGATGGTATTGACTTATAAGGAGATCTCTTTATTCCTAGTTTATAGGTATTTCATAAGGTCTTATTTTTCTAATCTTTTTGCTAGGAATTTGAATTTTTCCAAGACATTTCTATTCCTTTCCTTTCTCTCGCATAATTTTTCTAGACATTTTAAAGTTTATTGATACTTGTCGAATGCTCCAAATTACATATACCATGATTTCTTAGGAAAGACTCCGGAAAGCTTGCATAAAGTAAATTAGGAATAAAACTACGTAAATTAAATTTGGTGAATTCAACGTCGATAAGAAAGAGAAAGAGAGAGGTATATTTAGCATTTGATGGTATTAGAAAGTACAGAGACTTTAGAGGGGAGGCTATAAAAAGTAGAGAGAGAAACCTCACATCATAAAAGAAGAATTGCATAGAGAAGAAGAAGAAGAAAAAGAAATGGTTTTATATTTTTTTTAATCTTTTTCAGCAAAATTTGTTGATTTTTTTTTTTACATAGCAAATTAGTCCGATGTGTCATAATGCGTAAAATATTTTATATCAACTATCAATTTTAATTGAAAATTATCTTAAAAGCAATAAAAAAGGTCATATTAAGAAAAAATTCAAGAATAAAAGGAGATGATAAATAAAAAATACATGAACTTCATTAAAAAATAAAAAAAATAATAAAAAGATATTTTATGCAATCTTTAAGAGGCTGGGCTTACTTCTTCTATTGGATAACACACGTGGGTTTTTTGGAAACCCATTTTAATAATTATTTAATATAATTTACAACATTTGTTAAATGTCGGGTACAGTGAAAAGTTAATCACAAAAGATCATTCTGGAACTAATAATAATAAATTTCCTAAAATTTATACGGTAAACCACTAAAAGCATTGGTAAATAGCCAAAGGAAAGGAAATTCAAAAGCTAAAACGAAACAACTAATTAAGTCACCATAATTTCTTCTATGATAAAATTTATTACCTGCAAATACAAGAATTGATTTTTTATTCCTCCAGCAAATGGAATTGACATTTATTTTCAGACTTTCTTATTTTCTGAAAACTTTCTAATTACCGCATTGCAAACATAAACTATTTACCTATGGGGCCATAATATGATTTTTTATTTTTTACAACCTAAAATATTTTTTTCCTTAAAAAAGAAAACATATAAATAGACAAGTAGCAGTCTATAAAATATATTTAAAAAGTTTAATTTTGACATCCCCAAAATGCGATTCTGAGAAACGAAGGGCATCACCCTATATCCCCGTATAAAACCCCATCTAAACCCTCTCCCTCGTTTTTTTTTCAGAGTTTCTCCAATCCAGAGAATGGCGACTTCACTCTTCACTCGCTCTCTCCTCCAACAGTCGACATCAAAAACCCTAATCTCCTCCTTCCTCTCTCGCTCCTTCACTTCCACCTACACCTCCTCCTCCTCCTCCTCTCTCCTCCGCCTTGCTCTCCGTCCCCTCTCCGCTACAACCAACATCAATCTCTCTGTCTCTCGGTTTTCAATCAGGTCGTTTGCTGTCCAACCGACGTCGTCTTCCCTCAACGACCCAAGCCCCAACTGGTCTAATAGGCCTCCAAAAGAGACTATCTTGCTTGATGGCTGCGATTTCGAGCATTGGCTTGTCGTTGTGGATAAGCCTGAGGGAGATCCAACTCGTGACGAGATCATCGATTCTTATATTAAAACCCTTGCTCAAATTGTTGGCAGGTAATTACTTAACGTTTACATCTTAATTTTATTTCTCATTGGATTTAATTGTTTTGTTGTTTTTTTTAATTTCAATTTTATTTGATTTAAGATTTTGTTTTTTAATTGTTAGTTTTAGTGGATGAAATGTTGATATTCGGTTTTAGCAATCATGGGTTTTTCTATTGATTTATTTTTAGTCCATTTCTATTGAAGTTAATTGATTTAGTCATTTTCTAGTGTATTTATGTGCTGTATTTGGTTGTTTATTATTGAGGATATGTGCATGCTTAATTGTGTGTGTTCGTGATAGTTGGTTTTTGTGGTTTCTTAATGATTGGTTATGATGTGAGTTTGTGTTTATTGTTTGGTAAGAGTGCTTGTGGTTTCTGAATTATACCCGACCAATTGCTAGAAGGGTTTGAGTGCATTTTAATTATACTTCTTGGAGAAGCAAGAATCTTGATTGCTTAATCATACTGTATCTGATTTTGATGAGAATCGTATTTTTTAGCTTAATATCTGATTTGGGTTTTAGATTAAAGCAAGCCAAGTGTTGTTCTACTTGCATTTGGATATTCCATGCTGCTTTTAATTTTGACTTTTTGTATTTAGCATATCTGTTTTTTTTAGTGTAAGGGCTGCTGTAGATGTGATGTGTGAAGTCTTGATCATATAATTTTTGTGGCTACAACAGTGAGGAAGAAGCGAGGAAGAAGATCTACTCAGTTTCTACTCGATGCTACTATGCCTTTGGAGCTCTGGTGTCTGAAGAGGTTTCGTACAAGATCAAAGGTACATCTGCTTTTAAGCAGGGGCAAATGCAAAGGGGAGCTGGGGGTTGGCCCTGGCCTTCCATAGGATGAAAACTGTTTGCCTTCTCCATTAATAATATCATGCATATGGTCCATTTTAACCCCAAAAAAAAAAAAAAAAAAAAAAAAAAATTCAGATTGATCTTTAAATTATGCTTTCTTAACCTAGTTACATGTTTCCTAGAATGTAAAATTATTTCCTTCACCTTAAAAAGTTGAAAATTGGTTCCTTTTCTTCAAAAACTGAAAAAATAGGTTACCTGAAATGGGAAACTTTGTTCATTTTTATTTTTCCTAAGGTCTTTTTAAAACATGTTCAAGTGTTGCTAATTTATAAGTGAAAAAAAAATTACCTGCTGCTTTGAAGTGATTGGTTTATGATACTAACTTTTTTGAAATTTGAATGTGATGGATGTGCTCTGTTGGTCTCTTTTCCAGAATTGAAAAATGTCCGTTGGGTTCTTCCGGATTCGTACCTAGATGTGAAGAACAAAGATTATGGGGGTATGCAGCCTTTTCCTTTTGTCACTTGGTATGCTATACCAGTTTATATTGTTGTAGATGCATGTTTTATTGCATCTAGTAATTGAAAGTACTGTGTGCATCTTTCTTTGAGTTTCTTTTTTTCTTTCTTGAAAGAAACTTCTGGCTTCAATGTGATGACACCCCAAGAAATCATTTTGAATATTTTGCTTCTCATTCTATCAGTGGTGTCTGTTGAACCTCATTCTTGTTAGGTTGGATGCAATTGAAACCCTTTTAGACCTTGACCAAATTAGGAGTAGACTAGAACCTATGTAGCATCACTGGGCTTTTGTGGGCAATATTTTCTAGGATTAACTTTGCTATGTTGTCCCTGGATTTGAGTGGCTGTCTTCTTCTTTTTGGGTAAAAAATGAAAGGATAAAAAGATGCAAAATTTCACAGGATTGTGTCTCGCCGAATAGTCTCTGATGCAGTGTCAAACAACTGCATTGTTAAAAATATCTTCACAACCCTCATTTTAAACGTAAGTCCACAAGGAAAGCTGCATGTTTGCCTTTTCTTAGTAAGGGATAAGGGATACAGATTATGGTACCCTGATTATGTTGTCATACTGGCTTTGGGTCCATTTCTGCACACGTTAGGGATGGATCTTGTCTTTTATTTTGAAACTGTGGTTATGAAAAAAATAAGTTCCAATGCCTTATTTTAACCTTAGGTCATGATTCTTACTGTTTATTCTTTGTATTAGTTAATCATGACACCATGCTTTACATAATTGTTGCTTGATGGTATTTTCTTATAGGAGAGCCATTTATTGATGGGAAAGCTGTGCCCTATGACCCAAAATATCATGAGGAATGGATAAGGAACAATGCAAGGGCAAATGAAAGAAACAGGCGCAATGATCGACCTCGTAACGCTGATAGATCAAGAAACTTTGACAGAAGAAGGGAAAACATGCAAGGGCGAGATGGAGGCCCTCCTCCCCCTATGGCTAATCAGGCTATGCAAAACCCTGCTCCCAACATGGCTGGACGGCCACAAAACATGGACAGACCAAACGGACCACCACCATCACCACCACTGCCACATAACAACTACAGGGCAGGACCAGGCGGACCATCACCACCACCGCCACATAACAACTACAGGGCAGGACCAGGCGGACCACCACCATCACCACCACCGCCACATAACAACTACAGGGCAGGACCAGGCGGACCACCACCTAACTATAAAATGGGTGGACCTCATAACATGGGTGTACCAGGTGGACCGCCGCTTAACAATTATATGGGTGGGCAACAGACCAACAAGCCTCCACATAACTATATGCCTCCACGGAACAACATGGGAGGATGGTCCAATGACATGCCAGAGAACAGGCAAAACAACTTCCAGAATGGGCCTAACAATGGAGGCTTCCAAGGTGGACCACCAAACTACCAAAACAGCTACCCTCCAAGCATGGACGGAAGCATGCCTGGGAACTTCCAGAAAGGGCCTAACAATGTATAACTTTATAAGGTAGTTCTTGATAGGTATAACTGCAGCAGTTAATTTTCTCATTCAGATTGCTGTTAAGCATATCTTTTCTTTTTCCTTGTATATGGAAGGAACATATGCTGGATGCATTTGAATGTGAGCTTGCCTTTAACCCCTTATCTCCACAATTGGATTTCTTTTCTCTGGATGAACAGAACTTGATGGTTTTGACATGCAGCGTGAATGTGATAATACTCTAGAAATCACTAAAGCTGAACTGGACATTCTTGAAAATTAATTTCAGATTCAGGCATTGATAAAGAGAGCACAAAAATACCTTGAAACATGGGTAAAAGAACAATAACATGCTCATCAATCTTACAATTCAGGGATCCTGCCGTCACCATGTTGAGCCTTGGCCTTTGGGTTGCATCTTAGAAAATCAACAATTCATGTTTCCTGCCATGATGCCAGAATTGTTTCTTAAAATATTTTCCTTTTATTGTTAGGTTAGTTCATACCAATTTTGAACGCTTGACAGCCAAAGATGCCCAACTGAGCCCTGGCCTTAAAGGATGATTTGGAATTCCACCAACTTATTGTATGCCAGAATTGGCAAATAAGTAGATTCAGAAAAAAAAAAAAAAAGAAAAAAAAATTCTGTTATGTAAAAAGGAAAAGAAAAGAAAAATTAATATAGCACAAATTATTGCCAAGTGGCATGGAAGAGTTATATATAATCTGAGTTCTAGCGTCAATTCTAGCATATATCCTCCATAGTGAAGGCCCAGATTTCATCCTTCCCCAACAACATCTGAAGATTGTTCAAACAGCGAGTGGATGGAAGTCATAATTAGAAAAATGCAACTTTAGTTTCTGTTGTTGCACCAAATGTGACTCTTTAACTCACTGTATTCAACTCCCAGCAAATAAGTTCAGAGTAGATGGTGCTGTCAAAGCCTCCCTAGTATTGGATTCAGTTCTTCTATTTTTGGCAGCTCGGATCTGATCTGCAAGTGAAGCTTCTCTTTGAACTTTTTCTCTCTTAATAATCTCTACATCCAGTTTCTCCCAAGCTCGACCATTGGAAGTCAATGGTGCCCCTTGACTAATCATCTGATCATTAATAGACTTCTTTTTCGAATCTAATAGAGAAGACAACATATAGCCCTTGTTAAGACAAACATATAAAAAAACAGAATAAACATCAATGTGAAACAACATTTGATCTATAGGACTCACAAAGCATGGTCTCATCATGACATTGCTCATTTCATGTGAAAGATACCAAGAAGAACGATAGCAATTGGATCATAAGAGCATGTCCAACCTCAGTATTTGGTTTTAACCAAAAAAAAAAATAAATAAAAATAAAAGGTTGAAGCATATGAATAACTAAACAGTGTACATAATAGTCCACCATGTAAATATTTGCCACGGTGTGGCTCCAACATAAAAAAAAAAAAAAAAAAAAATCATAACATTCTGATCTTCCTTGTATGTTTCTGTTTTGCGTGTCTTTTACAGGTTAATCCTGTTTTCAATCTAACAACTATGGAATTACCAATTAACTTTATAACATTATAGAAATCAATTCTAAGTTAACTTCTAAATATATGTTTCCTAATCTACCAAGGATCAATTATTCCTATTTCGAAACTTTGCATTAATATACTCTCCAAGAGTCAAATAACATACACTATTCCTCAAATTGATAGTGTGATTTTTCATGTTGCACTGTGGCATGTAGGTTACCTTTGTTAATCTCTTCTTAAGTGTCAACTTTCGGACTACAGATGACTCTTCTGTTTTTTTCTTTGATTTTCTGCACGCCTTCCTCTTTACTTCTTCTCTTGGCTTCGCTTTCTCTTCCCGCTCTTTTCTCTTTTGAGCAATCCTTGCCATCTTTTCTTCCCTTTCCTTTGCTTCTCTCTCAACTGTTCTCTTCGCTATCTCCTCTGCCTTTGTCTTTTCTATGGTACCCTGAAGCTGCCTGAGAGTTATTTCTTCTTTTATTTTATCATAGCCATCCCAGTCCAGCTCTTGTTGGTCAATGGCTCCTTCCTTAGCTGCTCTTGCTATGCTTTTGGACCATGACAGAAAGAATCTCTCCCTCAGCCTTTTCCATTTCAAACGTTTACCCCAAAGTTGTTTGAGTGAAGAGCTTATCTTTGCCCTGATCACTGCACTGCAAGAAATTGGTTTGAAATGTGATTTTCAGTCAGAAAAACTTGTGTGGCAGCAGAGCCTATAGAGGATATAGAGTACTCTCAGCAAATATTAAAAATCACTAATCCTTACAGTTTCATTCAAATGCCTTAATCAAGCTTCCTCAATCACAAAATCATCTACAGAGTTACTTTAGCACAAACCATATCCAAAGTCATTATTATAAACTTCAACCTGAGGTCATTATCCATGTAGTAATTTTTTATATGGATGCCAATAGATATGTGGCTTATGTAGAACAACATGTATTTGGCAGTCAATTTTTTCACACACAACTTTCACAACATTCATTTAGTATATTTATAAAGATTGTGATTGGACGGCACAAACTTTACCTATGAGCACGGGGATGTCCTGACATCTTCTTCCTAACCTGAAAGTTGAGGGGAAAGGAAATCAAGTTTTAGAGGAGTAATATACAAAGTAGGACAATTACTTACCAAGAAGGAGAAAGAGGGAGCAGTATTTGTTACTGTCTCTGACTCTATGAGAAATAAAGAATAAATCAAACAGGAAAAATGATTTCAAAGCATTCATCGGTTCAGTAATAAAGAAAAAAACAGTTCATGTAGTATGAGCTTATTTACTATTCCAGGAGCTGCAACATATATGTGATCAAATTTATCAATGAAAGATCTTCAATTTAAGAAAAACAACAGTATAGTTAAGCCAAGGAGTATGGACCCTAACTATTCCAAGAATTCCCATGTACAGAAGACAAACCATGAGAAAACTAACTAATCCTTACATGACTTCACCTGGGGGTTTGTCAAGGCCTCAATTGTTCTTTTCTTGATCAGTGCACAGGTCTCTACAAAATAAAGGAAATTAAAACTACAGAATTAATCAACTTCATTATCACTTAGAGGGAATTATTTAATATACACTCAAAAAGGCAGTTACCTGCAGTATGTTTTCTGCCTTTGTTCCATGGAATTCTCCCTTTGTTTGCATGTTTTTTCTTTCTTTTTCTTCTCTTTTTGGGAAAGTCATTGATACTTTCTGCAGTCTCATGATGCCCATGCAGTTGAACCTCCTCATTCAGAGTCAGCTTCTCAGCTGCATCAGGGCTGATTTTTGACTGGAAATGCTTGCTGGAACCCGTTGTCTCTCCGACATCAACACTGATTTGCAACGCCGCAAAATCATCAACTCTTGGGAAGGTACTGATAGAAGCATATGCAGGACATGTGTTCTTCACAATAGATGTATGATGGTTTGACTGTTGTACATTTGGTTGAAAATGTGAGTATTCCAGCACATAACCCAGAGTTGGCCATAAAAGATTGTTTGGAACATGGTTGCTTGGTAAATGTGGAACAGATAATCTCCTGATAGATGGTTGAAAGAAACCAGAGTCACATATCTTATAGAACTATCTATGCTATCTAGCCACATGACGGAGTCACATCCTCTAATTAGAACCATTCATTCAAACTTGCAAACATCCATAGTTCATGTGATTGCAAGGGAAGCAGGCAAGTTCATGTTCTTTTATTTTCTAGAACCTGCCCAGAATGTCAATCTGGTGAAAACCTTGGAAAAATTTTGAAAAACAGAACTAACTGGATAATCATTCAATTCAATCCTTCAAATGAAATAATGATCAATTAAATGACATTTCTGGTATATGAAAACTTGATGAATCATATACAACAAAATTAACAGAAGATTCAAAAGACAAATACAACCAAATGATCATCCATTTCCTGAGAAATCACTAAAATGCGAACCTATTTCATTTTTATTACAGGCAGCATTTTAAGTTCTCGAGATGCATCAATATCAAAAGAAGGGTAGGTAAAGTGTTCCAATAGGTGACCTCATGTCATGATCAGCTCTACAAAACATTTTTTCCTTCTCGAGTAGTTTAAATTGTTTCTCAAGTTCCATGGAAGTCAATGTAATTAACTAAAATAGCCAAACATAACAAAGCTAATTCATTTGAGAATACTCAATCAAAATCAACTGATGGGAGCCAATTCACCGGGAATTCCAAGTTCCAGTCCATTTATTGCACACTCAAACTTCGTTCGTGTTAAAAAATTTGACTCATGCTAATGGAACCCATGAAACCAAAATCTATGGTTATATCTGAAACGACAGCTTGATTCTCACACTACTGATCAACCATGACGGACAATGTCACTAAAAACAAATAACAGTGTCAATTTTTTCTAGTTACAGCGACGCATCATCAATGCTAGCAAAATCATGTAATTATTTGCGGTTCCATAAAAAGAGGGAAAAAAAGAGTATAGGTGGTTTCATCAGAGTTTCGATTTATCTTGTTCATTCATCAATTAAAAGAATAGACAAAACGCATAAGTTTTAAAGAAACGAAGAACCACTTAAAACCCCGTTACTTATGATCAGTATGGAACTTAAAAGAACCTTTCAGAACCCAAAGACCTGAGCTTTACAGGGTTTTCAAGTGAAAATAACAAAGTAAATCAGTAATATCAACGAATTGAAGGTTCTAGTCATTTTTCAGTTTTATCTATAATTTTCAGGAAACAAGGGAGAAACAAGAACAGAACTTGAAGCAAACCCATCTCCAAAAACAAGTGACAGAAACTTACAAATGGAAGAATGACATTCTCAATGCATGGTCCCTGCTCCAGACACCTAGTCAGAGAGTGAGTTAGAGGTTCAATGAGAGATATTTAGATACGTTTTTTTATATATTTCTGAAACCGTGGAAGTTTATAAACAAATTTATTAAGCCACAATACACTTTACAAAAAATGTGAGATAGTGAAGCAAAGGAGAGGAAGAGGCAACCAATTTCGGCCGAACATTTTGACCGTTGAGGATTGGATAGATTTTCAATGGGCCTTTCTTAGTCCTTGAAAAACTTTTGGTACCGAAGCCTGCGCTATCAAACGCTACCATTATGACTCTGTATCGGCCCTTTAAGCCCACCATATTTTTTCAGACCCATATAGGTTTTAAGCAGATCATTTTCATCTCGATAAAAATTAGTTTACACCACTTAGATTTTCGTGCACAACGTTGGAGTTATTTCGACGATACTTTAGGTCTCAATCAGATTGATTTTATCTGTTCAACACTTTTTTTGGCCTAAATGATTGATCTGTTTTTCGTTTTGCATAAAAATTTAAATACTTACCAAGCGGTGGTTCATCCATAACTTCAACTGAAAGCTATAGAGTTTGGACCTGAATTTTGAAAATGGGATAAACAATGCATGAAATATGATGAGAAGAAAAATTGTTATTTATTTTTTTTAATTTTCAGGTTGTTTCTTTTTTGGTTTTTAAAATTTTAAAATAAAAATTTTAATCACCTAACGGATGCACTACATTTTTTGTTTTTTAGGTGTTAGGTTACTTTTTTCATACAAACTGATAATTATATAATATGTATGATATTTTTTACATTTATACGATATATTTTTAGATTTTAGAATGAATATAAACTACTTTTATTATTTAAAATTGACTTTTTCAATAAAAATTCTCATCAACTTAATTTTTATTCTTATTTTTTTATAATTTTTTATTGATAAATATGATTTATTTTCTCTACGTATGGATTCGAATAAGTTTTTTTACGCTTATTTTTATTTGCTTTATTCGAATATTTTTTTTTATGCCTATTATATAATTAAAATTTAAAAATTGAATATATGTATTTTATTTTCATATTTTTTTTTTATATAATCAAATTTTATTGAAATTAGTTTTATAGTTTTTATCGCACTCTATTAACTTCAATATATATTTTACCATTTAATTTTTTAAAATATTTTTTAAAATTTATTTTATATAGTCTCACTCGTTGAATACGATCATGATATATAAAAAATAATAACATTAGAGTCGTTGATTTTATTAGAAATCAACTATGCACCAACACACACAATACCAACTATTTGATATTTTTTTTAATATTTAAAATAATTTTTTAAATAAAATAATTAAAATAATATTTTAGAATAACTGTCTAATAATTCAAATACAATTTTGTATACTAATATTATGCATTATTTTGTAAATAAATATATACAAATCAAATGTATATATTTGAAAAATAATCTTTTCATCGATAAAAAAGTTTTATTTGTTAATTTTCATACAATTTTTTATATTAATTGTTACTTTATTTTTTCGATGCAATGCAATGAAAAAAATATTAAGATGTTTTTTTTAAATTTTATATTAAAATTTTTTATTATGGGTTTTTATTTAAGAATAATGCATAAGAAAGAACAAATCATATTTTTTTGACTTCAAAATTTATTCAAAACACAAAAAAAAATATATATATACAAAATTTTTATTAAAAATTATAAAATTAGATGAAATTTTATCTTTTATATTCTATTTAATATATTTTAATTAATCGACAACATAATATATATTATCAAATTGAAATAAATATGTTTAGTTCGATCGACAAGCATAACACGATAATTTGAACTTGTTCATATATCTAAAATTCTTATTCACTTATTGATCATATGCATAAAATTACTATTCACTTGATGGCAATTTAAATAAATTTTTATGGGGTTTTTTATGTGTTTTTGAGCACCAATATGCAAATTTGACACTTTTTTCTATTTTTTATCTCTCATGTTGTAACATTTTTTTTTCAATTCTTAGTTTTTATTTTTCTTTCATTTTTACGCAGGGTGTATACACACACATACACAAACATACATATCCTATCTTTTTATATTTTAAAATTAACATATACTTCAACCTATATTATTCTTATCATTTAAATTTTATTATTTGAATTTATTATTTTTTTATGAAAATTCTCATCCAATTAATATTTTTTTATATATAAGATTTTATTTATTGATAAATATAATTTATTTTCCTTATATTTGAATTTAGAATAAAATTTTAAAACATGATTGTTTTTTCTTTTTCAAAAAATAAATTGGCATAATATATATCATGAATTCTTAGAATTTTTAAATGATAGTTGCATATATATAAATATAAAATTATTTTACTCTAAAAGGTTAAAAGTGTATTTTAAATAATTTGTTTCAGTTCACTAAGTATGGTCAAGACGTATAAAAAAAACTATTAAATCGTTGAGTTTAGTAAAAATTAACTATACAACTTCCAACATAATATAAATTATTTGCTATAAATATTTTTTTAACATTATAGAACCAATTTATTTGAAATAAAATAGTTAAAATAATTTTTTAAAAGAACTAACCAATTATTCAAATATTGTTTTTTATAATAATTTTATTGATTATTTTGGATATATATATATATATATATATATCTAATGCATATGCTTGAAAAAAAAAATCTTTTCACTAAAATTAAATAAGAATAAAATTTTATTTTTTTTAATTGGTTAATTTTTATGCAAGTCTATACATTAATTGTAACTTTATTTTTTGAATACATTCTTATAAAAAAAATATAATTTTAAAGTGTTTTATTTTAAATTGTTAATTAATACTTCGGGTTTAAATGATTACAAGTTTTTATTTAGGAATCTCTAAATAAAGAAGAATAAATCATGTTTTTTTTTTTTTTTTTTTTTTTTTTTTTTAAGTTGAAATTTTGTGAAATACAAAAAAAGAAAAAGAAAAAAGAAGAAGAAGCAGTAATAATTAAATAAAAAAATTAATGAAAAAATTATAAAATTTTTAAATGATTTTGTTCTATCTACCTATAATGTTGTGCGGATAATTTTAAAAATTAATCTTTTCTTCAGCATTAAATAAGAATTTTTTTCATTTGTTAATTTTTGTAAAAATCTTTCCATTAATTATGACTTTATTTGTTAGAATACAATATTATGAAAATTATATTTTTAAAGTTTTTTTAATTCTTGATTAATATTTTAGTTAAAATTATTATATTTTTTATTTTAAAATCAATCTATAAAGAAGAATGATTATATTTTTTTTAAGTGAAAAATTTATAAAAAAGTTAAATAATTAAATAATTAATTTTTTTTAAATTTTAAAATGATTTTTTTTTATCGGACCCGCAGCATAGTGTGGACAAACGACTAGTTATAATCTAATAGTTGTATATTTAATATTTTTTTAATAAAATAAATTTAAATTCTAGTTAATTTAGTTATAATTATGTAATATAAGACGATTACTTCAATTATATAGTCCAATACCAAACAAATTTCTGATGTATAAAAAAAAAAAAAAAGGAACAATCATTGTTGTATTTATAGAAAGTTTCTTTTTCGGTCTTTTTTTTTAAAAAAAAAATCCATCGAGAGAACAATGAGGAGACATAACCTACTTATCATATCTTTATAATTAGTTTTTTTTTTTTTTTAAAAGATTGTAAAGGTTTTCAATCTTGATCCGTTCTAGCTAAAACTATGAGATATCCCATTTCGGTTTAAAAAATAAAACAAATTTGTATTAATCTGCATCCACAAAATACCGGTTTAAACACTTTAACCATCTCAGGTGAGTTCTTGTTCATACATTTGAGGGCAGTCTGATTTCAAGAAAAAAAAATTGAGAGGTATTTGGAGAAATGATTAAGGTTCATGATTTTTTTGGATAGATATTATTAAAATGTCGACCCTCGTGAAATATAGCAAAAACTTTGAATATATTGGGAGTCAATTTTATGATTTTAAAACGTAAAAGTCAGCCACTTTTTTTTTGTCAGAATTCAAATTTAGCCTTTTGTCCCTTAACAAACTACTACGGTTTGAAGTTTCCTTGATGAAAAAAGTTGATTTCATATTCGAACATTGTTCCAACTTCTACTCTTCGCGTCAAACAACCATCAAACTTAGTTCATCCAATTTTCTTCTGTGGCAAAACAAATTCTTCCCATTTTAATAGGACATAATCTTATTCATCA